TCTTGATGGCATTTTTAGTGGCAGATGGAGTATAATGTAGTTGGCTTTTGAAATTAGAATGTTGGGGCTAGAGACATGGCTCAGATGTTTTTGCAGAGGATCCAAGTTTGGTTCCCAGCACACAGCTCACAACTGCCTATAACTCCAGTTTCAGGGGATCCAATGCCTCTGGCTTCAGAGGGCATCTGTACTCACACACACACACACACACACACACACACACACACACACAGAGGTTTAGAAATAATATGAATTAATCATGAAATTAGAATGTTTTTCTGTCATTCTATAGCCAGAACTTAGAACAAAGTACGATGTTTTATAGTTATCATTGTTTTCCATTGCTGCTCTTTTTAGTATATCTATGGAATGTATAGGAGCATTTTCATATTCATGACAAATCACTCTTTTTCTTAATATGAATTTTCTCTAGACAATGCTAGAGATCTATAGCTGTGTGGGAATGACTTTTCCAAATGGAAATAATCTGAACTAATGACTTTTAAGCCTAGCAAAACCATGTGCTCTTGTGTCTTATGACTTGGGCACCTGATCTTGTTTCCTGGCAACCTCAATGTACTGCACCCAAAAATATAATGAGTGAATGTGGGCATGCCTGAGAATTAACATATCAAAGCACTGAAAGCAAGTGCACCCATCTCCATTGCACACAGTAGAGACTGGGAAGGATGTGTGTGACTTTGGGTAAAAGAGATATTCTAGAACTAGGGATAAAAAGACTGGATGGTCTGTTAAGATTAAGGTGGAACCAAGCTTGTACTTCCCCAATTGAAGCTGAAGAAACCATTTTGAGTAAAATTATGGGTGGGGCCAGGCTCAAGGACACATTTCCAAGGACAGAGTTCCATCTGTTAGGTTTATGGGACGCAGAATGCAGGAACAATAGGAGAGAAAGGAGACCATACCTGACCTCAGACAAGACTGAGTTTATTGAAGCACCTCAGCAAGAGACAGCAGCCTTCATGCATGCTGGAAGTGACAGCTGCCCTGGGGTAGTGGCCATTGGGGCTTATATAAGATATATTTGTGGCTGGCTGACCATGTGCAGATCAAGAGCACTCTTGAGAAGTTTATTGTGCCCTGTATTAGTCACTTTTCTGTTGCTGTGGTAGAAACACTGACCCAAGCAATTTATAGAAGGAAGAGCTTATTTGAGGTTACGGTTCCAAAGGAATTACAGTCTGTCATGGCAGGGAGGCATGGTGGCTGGAGGTGGCTGGAGCAGGAGCAGCAGAAGCTAAGTTCTCACATCATCACACAGGCACAGGAAGCAAGAGGGTGACTGGAGATCTGGCAAGGCTTAAGAACTCTCTAAGCCCACCCCCAGTGATGTGCTTCCTCCAGGATAGCCACACATTCTAAAACCTCCCAAAACAGGGCCATCATCCGGGGACAAAATGTCCAAACACTTGGAGCTATGGGGAACATTTTCATTCAAACCACCACACCCCCTTATGGCTCACTTCTTCCTGGCACCATTTGCTCTGGTTCATCTTGAGAGACAGAGGGTTTATGATCTCTTCTTGGGACCATTTGTTCAAGGAGACAGGCTGTCTCAACAAACAATCCTCCCAGAAGGGAGGGAAGTGACTGATTGATAATGCAGGCTTTCTGCCACTGGGACATTCTGTCACCATCAACACTATTTCAGGAGAAAGGTGGTTCTAAGAAATATCTAGGGAAATGAGTGTCCTCCGAGTTTGGGCCCACTTTTAAAAAAGTTGGGCCTTTTTTTTGTTCAGGTGATTATGACACTGACCTACTAACACTGCACACCTGCATGCCACACTTGCTTTTCTTAGTATCTGTAGCAGTAAAGCAAACTGCACTTAATGAAACATCAATTCATAATTTGACAATATTGGGTGCTTTGTTCTGCTGGATAAGTTTTGGGGGTGTTTTGTTGTTGTTTATTTGTTTTGTTTTTTTGAGGGTCTCACTATCTAGCCCTGGCTGGCCTGGAACTCATTCTCTATACCAGGCTGGCCTCAAACCCACAGAGATCTGCTGCCTCTGTATCCCAAGTGCTGGGATTAAAAGCATGGGCCACCATACCTGACTTTGAATAGGATTTTATACGTACTTTGTATGTAGATTGTAACTATACAAAACCTAGATTTTATTTTGTTTTTAACTGTTGTGGGAACTCTTTTCTTGGAGAGACATGAACAAATTTCTACCTCCTCTTTATAGGACACCAATGATAAACCAAAGTAGGATTCCACCAAAGTCCAACTTGGCAAACCAATGAACTTACTGAGATTAACTACAGGGCAGGGCAAGGTGTTACTTATAGGAACTCAGGTGACCCCAGAGCAGCTGCTCCTCCTCCTACTGATAGTTCTCAACCCAGTGTGAATGACCCCCACAACTGCATAAGGGAGCCCTCCTTCAGTTAACCTTCTACATACTATGTACTCTAGTGACCTCCTGAGACCTTGAGACCGTGGATCATTAGGGAAGGACCACATTCAACTTGCTGGGAGGTACAGGAAGAGTTGCTAGAGTCTCAAGTGAGGGTCCTAGGAGTCTTTCCCTCCCCATGGGGAATGCCAGCAGTCAACAGGCTCGATATTGAGGGGCTCTTGCAAGTAGTCACAGCTGCTTTGATGAAGATGATGGCTCTTATGCTTAGAGAATAGTGCTCTGCAACATTAATTTACTACACTTTAAATGTTTGTGTAGCAAATGTATCTTTAAGGAGAGATAATGCTGAATTTAAGAAAAGAAAAAGGTAAAATATAATGCTAAATTTAGAACTTAGCATTTGGACGTTTGCCCAGTGGTGAGCTAATGAGTTTTAAAAATGAATTGTTTGAGAAAAAAAGTCTATATATTCTTGTAAAACTGTTGCAGTAACTTTTCCTGGGGAAATGTGAATGAATGTCTACTCACTCCAGATAAGGCACTAATGATTGACCAAAGTAACAATTTCACTCAAATCTAGCTTGGGGAGCCAATGAGTTTATTGAACTTACCTGCATGAGCATGGGCGGATGCTGAGTTACAGGAGTGTGAGTAACCCCAAATAGCCATATCACCAGAGTCTCACCCAGTATGGATGATAGCTGCACTGATGGAGTCCCCTTTTACGTAGCCATCCACATTGTATATACTCCAGCAACTTTGAAAGACCTGTGCAGTAGGGCCAGAATCACATGCAGCTGGGAGGGGACTCAGAAGGGAGCATCTAGAATCTCATGTGAGAGTCCAATCATCCTCCTCCTATGAAGGGAACTTCAATAGGCCTCATCTTGAGGTTGCTTGCAGGTAATCACAGATGGTCCGATTAAGATAGCCTGTTATGTTAGAGGACAGCATTATACAACAAAAACCTATGTTCATAGTGGAATTAGTCTGTAAATACATTTTATATAGTCTCTGCTGCCATGTGTCAGGATACAATAAACATAGGTCTGTAGCTAAAGCCATTCTTTGACTTAAGATGCTAATTTAATGCCCTTTTATTATTTTGGTAGAGAGGTTTGTCCAAGTACTACTAGAATTCAATTTGGAGTAAAAAGTAGGAGGGACAAAATTATTTTTAAAAGAGAGTTTATATTTTGTTGTTATAGGTATTGATGAATGATGAATGTAAGTAGATGGGTAGGGTTGGAAATATATTCTCAGACAGAAATGAAAGTTCTCTGAAGTTATGGTTTAAAGAGTCACTTTTAGTGGAGGGCTCATCAGTAACATAACTCCATTTTCAAGAACACAAAGTGAGGGATCTAGCACCCCTTTATAGTTGGTTGACTTTTATGTAAAAGGCATATTTTGAAGATTTACATCTTGTCAACATAGAAACATCTGTCAATTAAGAGAATAAGAGATATTCTGAAGCTAAATATGAGTGACCATGGCCCAGGAACAATTTAAAACAACTTTTCATACATATAACTTCATCATTTATTAATGGCTACAGCAGTGATAGATATATGCTTGTTTGTCCACACAATGTAATCCAAAGATACACTAATTTGATACCTGCTGAGGAATCACATCAGGAAAATATTAAAAGTTTTGCTTCCCATAATTAAATCACTATATTTCCATAAGAGTAGAAAACTTTGTATGCATTGTAAAAACAGTGAAATTCATAGCATGCAGTAGTCCCAAATCTGAGCTGAGATGGTGCACTGTGCTTATGGGCATGCTCAGTGCACAGTGCACAGGTTGCGTGTTGAGAACCCAGGGTGCAGTGAAGGCCAGTGACAGCAATATGGATAGGTAATACATTTGATTTTTCTTTTAAGACAGGGTCTCCCTGTACCCCAGCTGACCTGGAACAAACTATGTAGATCAGGCTGGCCTGTATCTCACAGCGATTCCACCTGCCTCTGCCTCTGGAACGCTGGGATTAAAGGTGTGCATCACCGTAGCTGTCCACTTGATTTTGAATTGTTTTGGTCAGCTACATGACTCCATGGGGTTGTAATGCACAGTTTAAGAAGTGTTGGTTTAATTGGCAGACCTTTTGCATAAGGTGGCCAGGGCAGCAAGGGAGAGAGTGTAACAGCTGTTGGGGAGTAAACTGCCCATCTGCCAACATCTTTCCTCACGGGAAAACAAACATCAGGAACCCTTACAATAAGAACTCAAGAAATCAACACAAATAATCAAAATAGATTTTAATAGTTATTTACAACTGCCCAGTGCCCCATATGAGTCCTCCTTTGTTGCAGTAGTTTCTAAATTTGATGTACACTGACTGGCATGGTAAATGGCTTCGGAGATATCCAGTCTCTTCCTCACCAGCAAATTCCCTTTGGGTAAGAATCCACTCTCAAACCTAGAAAGGTCTTCCGACCTCCCAGAGCCCAACTCTGTTGCTCCTTGCCTAGCTGAATCCAAAGGACTACTGCCTGGGAGGACTTGGCGATGTCAGTCCTCCACCAGCGAGGGCGCTGTGGAGCCAGCGGCGGGCGACGCTCTACCTGCTTTCCCGCGCCCCTCGGTGGCTGGGGTTTGGGGAAGTGTTTCTAGGAGACGGCGCTCAGGGGCGGCGTGTGCGTAGTCGACGCCGCCGGGAGGTTGGCTGACGCTGGCGGGTAGGGGGAGTTCCTGTGGTGGTTGTCACTGCCCGGTGTCTTTCCCGATGCTGCGCTCCTGAGGCCGGCTGCGGACGGGCGGGCGTCTCCCCGGGATGGAGCACATCCGCACCACCAAGGTAGTCGGCGCAGCCTGCGGCCGCCGGTGTACAACCGAGGCTGGGGCCGCGGGGCCTGCGTACCCGCCCGGGCTGGGCAGTTTGGGGTGCAGAGGCCGTGCTGATAGGCGCCGGCGCCCTAGGAATTGGGGTGCCGGGGAAGTCCGCGGAAATTGGTGGCCGCCCAGTTGGCTCCACACTTCCTGGGACAAAATTGGGTCTACTTTATACTGTGGGTGCTTTCGGCCGCTCGCCGCCTCGTTCACCCCCAACTCGTTGGGTCCCAACATTAGCATTTCTTTGCGGTGTAAACTCGTTTTGCTCAGGTTTTAAGTGCCGCGCGCCGCATATTCGTGGAGCTGATTTGGGGAAGCTGAGGCTGGCGCCAGCTCCACCTCACTTGTCTAGTCCTTCAGCCACTTAGATCTGATGCTTCTGTGCTTCCAACTTAGGCAGCTGTCCAAGTGTCTGTGCCGGGTTTTAAAAGGTCCGATGAAACTTACCCCAAAAGAGCTTGTCAAATCCCATACTTAATCATTCTGTATGAAAGGTGTTTAGAGAATGAACGAGTATTTATTTAAAATAAATAAATAAATATATATGATTTTGTTACAAGTTTAAAAACGGAAGGAAATGACACCGGAATTTTACCGAAACAACGTATCAGGCAAACTTCAGTGTCAGGAGGGAGGAAAACAGAAATGGAGACCAGAAAATTTGAATAGCATTAAAAATCGTTCAGGGCGTTTGCACAGGGAACACTCCTAAGGAAAAGCCCTAACTGTCCCCTGCTGCTTGTCTTAAAGTTACAATTCATTTAGGAACAAGCTGACTTAATTTCATTGTTGCACATAGATTTTTTTTTTCTTGGGATTTGTTTTTGACATTTTGGATACTATACATAGTATTATTCGTAGTAAAATCAGAGATGCTAAAACTCTAACTCGTGTGCGTGCGTGCGTGCGTGAGTGCGTGTGTGTGTGTGTGTCTTTTAAGGACAGCGTCTCCCTATAATGCCAGCTAACCCAAGAAAGAATTCACTACGTAGACTAGGCTGGCCTCCATCTCACAGAGATAACCTGCCTTTGCCTGCTAGCATACATCATGACCCACATAACTCCTTTTGAAAGCTTGTTTTGCTGCCCTCCCCGCCTTTGGGGAGAAGAAAAATAGTATAATTGGATAGTTTAAGTTGCTGGCACTTAAAGTTGAAAATGGAAGGCTGGTTAAATGGATACTGAGTAGAAGGAGCAGAGTTGGGGAAGAGAACTGGGGTGGGCAGGGAGCTGCTGTTGTCCTGGTTACAGGGCCCTAATGCTGTTGGCTCAGAAACTTAGACTTCTCCAAACCTCACTGTATGCTTCTGCTGACTGCTGTACACAACACAAAATAGAAAGGTCAGTGAAAGCAAAGGAAGCTAATGGACTAAACACACTGTTCCTAAGGAATGCCAAGAGTGAATGAACACCATTGGGCAAATCTTGAGATCCCTTCATTATTTAAAAATTTCCCCATAAATATAAAAATGCATTTATGATTAGTTTTTTTTTTTTTTTTTTTTTTTTTTTTTTTTTTTAGGAGGGTAGAGCTATGGGCTCCTTTATGATCCTGAAGATTGTTAACTTCTTAATGTAGCCCTGTTTTTCCACAGTGGGCTCGCCCATGCTGGTGTTATAGTAAGGCTGCTTTATGTCTTTTTAAAGATTTTCTATTAAATTTACTTCTTAAGGGAGCTCATTTGTTGCTTTGTGTTATTTTTGTAGCATTGGGCTGCTACTCTGAAATAATCTTAAGTGGGTGTGTGTAAAAGACAATGGAACAGATATTTGCTAGGTATCTAATATATACCAGGTACTGAATAGAACAGCACCATCAACATGAGCCTCAGAATGTAGTCTGATAATCATTGTATGGATTGTAACATTTCCTTAAATTATTAATCTGTTTGGAAAAGAACTTACTCTTACAAGATTGATTTGAACATAGCCAACTTTTGCATTCTGTTATGCATCAGTCTTCATTTGGACCTATTTAATTTGCTACAAAAATAATTGTATTTTAAAACCAGAAATGGATTGCTGTTTTAAACTCTCTGTGGTTGAGCCAGTATGATTAAAAGTTGACCCTAGTACTGTTGAGATGGGTAAAGGCACTTGCTGCCAAACCTAATGACCTGAGTTGGTTCCCCACATGGTGGAAGGAAAGAACCAACTTCCACAAGTGTACAGTGGTGTTCTTGTGCGTTCTTTCTCCCTCTTCCTGTCTCTGACTCTCTCTCTCTCTGTCTGTCTCTCTCTTTTCTCTCTCTCGTTCTGTCTCATACCACACACACTAAGTAAATGAATGTAATAAATTAAAAAAAAATTACTTTATTGCTGGGCGTGGTGGCACGCGCCTTTAATCCCAGCACTCAGGAAGCAGGTAGATCTCTGTGAGTTCAAGGCCAGCCTGGTCTACATAGTGAGTGCCAGGACAGCTGAGGCTACAGGGAGACCTTGTCTCAAAAAGACCAAAAAAAAAAAAAAACAGCTGTTTAAAAAAAAAAAAAAAAAAAAAAAAAAAAAAAAATATGCTGTATGACTGTTCAGTGATTTTTTTTTTTCATTTTATTTAAACAGCTGCTTGTTATATTTTTTTGAGACAGGGTTTCCCTGTAGCTTCAGCTGGCCTTGAACTTGCTTCATAGACCAGGCTAGCCTTGAACTCACAGAGATCCACCTGCCTTTGCCTCCCAAGTGCTGGGATTAAAGAGGTGGGCCGCCACTCCCGGCAACAACTCTTTTTGAAAAATAATAATTACCTTCTGTTGAACAACTGCATCAATACTAATTATGTAATATTATCATAATTTCACACTGTTCACATTTCACAATCTGTTAATTTATTAGGTATTATCTTTCTGATGGCTACTTTTGTCAACTTGAGACAATGTAGAATTACCTACAGAGTCTTATGGAGGGACTGCTCAGGTCAAGCTGTGAGCATGCCTGTAAGGGATTTTTTCTTTGAGTTAACTGAGATGGGAAGACCTACCCTGAATGTGGGCAGCACTGTTCCATGGGCTGGGCCCTGAGCTGTATAAGAGTAGAGGAAGCTAGCAGACTCATGCACTTACTCTGTCTGCTCTTAACATGGGTATGTACAGCCAGCTTTCTCAGTCTCTTGCTTTCTGACTTCCCTGTGAAGATGGACTGCCACCTGGGCTGTAAACAGAGCAAAGCTTTCTCCCGAAGTGCTCTTTGCCAGGGTATTTTATCACAGCAGCAGAAATGAGACAAGAACAGTCACTAATTTTTTTTGTTGTTTTGTTTTTGTTTTTTGTCTTTTTGAGACAGGGTCAGTCTCCGTGTAGCCCCATCCTGCCTGAAACTCACTATGCAGACCAGGCTAGCCTCAATTTAATTCAGAGATCTGCCTGCCTTTGCCTCCCAAGTGCTGGAATTAAAGGCATGCACCACCACACCCGGCAACAATAATTAATTTAGAAAAAAACCCTGTATTGAAGTAAGTTTCAGAATCTCTATATGTGGGTTAGGAAGAGTTGAGCTTGGTAAATTTGAATGACCTGCCAGGTTAGCTGTGTGCAGTAGTTAGGATTTAAACTCTGTAACTCCAGAGAGTGTATACTTTTTCCAGTGTGTTTAGTTTTAATCTAATTATTAAATTGGTATTAATTTAGGAAATAATGCAAATAATAATTGAAATGTTTTTTTCAATCTTTTCATCATAAGCAATATTTTCATATTGGTTTTTGTAATGGTTAGAGTTATTTGTTTTATGGTCTGCTGACTAGAGATTAGTATTTTAGTTGAATACTAATAACTTTCTAGGCCCTAAATTCAGTAACAGATATGTGATCCTATTTTGGTCGTGTTTGCCTCGAGACAGGGTCTGTCACTGAACTGGAATCTGGACCTTTCAGCGAGACTGGCTGGCCATGGAACTCTTTGGATCGACTTGTCATCACCCCTCAATGTTAGGGTTCCAGGCACATGGAGCTGCTGTGCCCAGTATACACAGTTCTGGTTGTCTCTGTGTTCCTTTGTGTCCCTTTCTACTGCCTTCTGCTTGGACTGGGCATTGCTTTAGGTGTTAGGAAACTAGGGAAATGGTAGTGAACAAGGCAGACAGTATGTGGGTGCTAGGGATGGGAACTTGGTCCTCTGGCTTGCAGAACAAGCACTCTTACCCACTGAGCTATTCCCCCAGCTCTGAGACCTTAAGTTTTGAGGTATACTTCAACACTTGCCCCAAGTAGGACAGCATTATAACTGTCATTAATACTGTTTGATGTTACAAATGACAAAACTGTAGTTTTTGAGAATAAATGACTCATCCTGGCTCAGACAGGTAATTGGGAATTATTTGTTCAGTGGTTGCTGGTAGGAGCTGGGCTCTGGAATCCGGGTCTATCATGATACCAGGCCTGTTTTCTTAGCTACCACATTCTCCTGCCTTACAGAATAACTGTCTAGTGAAGAGATTTGAGTATGGAGGTAGGGCAGTATGAGTAGAGAGGAGGGGGTGGGTGAGAGAAGTACTTGGCAGTAATATTTGCATAGTAACTACCCAGTTGTGAGGGTGCTTAACTGGGGGAAAGGGCTAAAGCAGAGAAGCAGATGTGGGTGTTTCGGTAATATTGAAAGTTTTTGTTGGGGTGAGTTTATGCAAGAGAAAGTCTTGAAGCTCTGTAGAGAGGACTGGAAAAATTAGGGCCCTAGCACCTTAAGAAAGGTGGGTGTAGAGGTAAGGTGCTGAGTTGGAGCAGCAGGGATAAAATGGAAGCTCTGAGTCACAGAGGGGCAGGAAACAGTCTACACAGTTCTAGTTGCCTCTGTGTTCCTTTGTGTCCCTCTCCACTGCCTTTTGCTTGGACTGGGCACTGCTTTAGGTATTAGGAAACTAGGGAAATGGCAGTGAACAAGGCAGGCAGTATGAGAAAATGTATTTTCTCATCAAGAAAGACATAATTCTGAATAGAATTGATAAATCAGATATGCAGTGTGTTAGATGGTGGTCAG